TGGTTAGAAGCAAAAATAGTTAGATTTAACACATTAAAATTATTGGCAATACTCTTCCATTCCGAAGGGTTGTAATGTTTCTTTTTTTACTGTGAACCCGAAAGTTAGAGACCCGAAAACAACCTTGGATTTTAGACCTATTAGTCTCATTGGATGCCAATATAAAATTATTGGTAAAATATTGGCTAATAGGTTAGTGGAGGTGATTGACAGTCTTGTTAGTTCGGAGCAGTCAGCCTTTATTAAAGGCATACATATTCTTGATGGTCCATTTCTCCTCAATGAGGTGGTGGCTTGTAGTAAGGCTTATGGAAATCCATTAATGATGTTTAAGGTGGATTTTCAGAAGGCTTATGATTCTCTTTCTTGGGAGTATCTTCTTGAGATTACGCAGATTATGGGATTCGTTTCTCGATGGTTGGTTGGATCTTAGAGATGTTGAGATCTGCTAGAGCATCAGTTTTAGTTAATGGTTCTCCTACTGGCGAGTTTCAGATTCACTGAGGTTTGAGGCAGGGAGATCCCCTCTCTCCATTTTTATTTATTTTGGCCATGTAGGGTCTTCATGTGGCTTTATCTAGAGCTCGGGAGGCTAATATCTTTACTGGGATTTCAATCTATGGGACTGAGTTGTCACATCTTCTTTATGCTGATGATGTCATGATTTTAGCTGATTGGGATCCTGAGAATGCAAACTGTATTATATGTATCCTCAGATGTTTTTACATGGCTTCGGGTCTTAGAATCAATTTACACAGTTGGGGTTCTCTATAATCAGGTTGTTGAGATGGCAGATATGATTGGTTGTAATCCAGTTGTGCCTCCTTTCATTCATCTAGGTATCCCGATTGGTCAGAATATGTCCCAGATTACTGTTTGGAATCCTTTGTTGGATCGGTTTCGAAGTAGATTATCGGCGTGGAAGACTAAGAATCTCTCCATTGGTGGTTGTCTTACTTTGGTCAAATCTGTTTTGGGTACTCTCGGAAGTTATTTGATGTCGATGTTCGTGACTCCTATTTATGTTATTTCCTCTTTGGAGGCTTTGAGGGAAAATTTTTTCTGGGGTGCAGACTTAGATGATAGATGTTTGCATTGGGTTCAATGGGATAAAGTCCTTGCGTCTATAGGAGAGGGTGGGTTAGGTGTCGGCAGTTTGTTCTCTTATAATAGAGCTATGGTTTTTCGGTGGTGGTGGCGATTTTATCATTTCCCTAATTTATTATGGGTTCGTTTGATCAAATCTATTTATGGTACAGATGGTGGTTTTAGATATTTGATACCTAAAAGATCTTATTCTGGTCCTTGGAATGGTATTATTCGTATAATGGGTCTGCTTCGGGATAAAGGTCTTGATCTTCAGTCTATGTGTCCTTTTAGAGTCGGTGATGGGCGACTTACATCGTTTTGGCATGATGTGTGGTTAGGAGATTCGCCCCTATCACTTATTTTCCATAGAATTTATGCCCTTGATAACCATCGTTAGTGTACAGTTAGAGACCGGGTTAACATTGGTTGGGAGTTAGAGAATTTTAGATGTGCCCCTAGAGGTGGTATCGAGCAGATGCAATGGGATAATGTTATTTCCATGATGCAGGATCTTCACTTGGAGTCACGTCCGGATAGATTGGGTTGGATCCTTTATGTCACAAATAGTTTTTCGATTTCTTCTGCTAGATCTTTTCTAGATGGCGGTATGGTGTTTTCAGGAGGGGAAGAGACTCGATGGAATAATTGGATTCCCAACAAAATTAATATTCTTATTTGGAGAATTCGGTTACATAGTATCCCCATTAGAGAGAGACTTTCTCAAGAGGAATCACGGTGGACTCCATCTTGTGTCATGTGTGTAATCGTCATGTTGAGACAGTTGACCATATTTTTTCTAGATGTAATGAGTTGATTGACATATGGTCGCGTATTGCTATTTGGTGGGGTGTTCAGACTCCAGCTCAGATTACAGTGCAATCTCTTCTTTCTTGGTTAGATTCGATTCCTTTAAGGGTTGGCAAGAGAAGGTCTTTCAAGCAGTGATTTTTACTTCTTTCTGGTATTTGTGGAATTTCCGTAATAATTTGGTTTTTGGCAAGATTCTTCCTAGGAAATCGAACATTTTTTATGATATTGTTCATAGGGCATTTTTTTCGATTTCTAATAGGTGTAGAAAAGCAAAGTTTGGATGGTCTTTTTGGTTGCATAATCCAACTTCTGCTCCTTTATTTATGTAATTGTTCTTTTCTAACTTCTTGCTAGTTTTTATATAATATTTCTGTCGTTCAAAAAAAAACATTAAACTAAACTGATAGCTATAAAACACAGAAAAATACTTACTTCACTCCAAAATTTGAAATGATTCTCCAAAATGCTTTCTTCCACACAAAATGATTATTTGGAAACACAATAACTTAATATTTTTTACATCATTCATACCATTCCTAAATAAAATACACACAACAACCTCGTTCATAATAGTAACTTTTATAAAATATCATTAAAATTACCAATTATTTCATAGCTCACTGCGATTCAAATCAAAATCCACACCGAAGAACAACTCCATCCCTACAGTTAAAAGATAAGAAATGAACTTAAGAATCTATATATAATATAATAAACATATGTAACATGAAAAAAATAAAAATAAAAACAAAACAAAAAAATAATACATTAAAAACAAAATATTTTTTTGGGTTAAAATCTAGATTTGAATCGTGTAACAAATCAAAAAATAATTTATATGTTTTCTTGGTTCAACTAATTAAATTAAGAGTTTGGTTAAAAAGACACTCTATTTTACAATTTAGACAACCCAATTAATATTTGAAATATTTTTATCGGTTGAAATTGAATTGTTTTCCGAAAAAGATGATTACAAGTAATTGATTATAGGTTGATTTTTTATGGAAATGATTATAGGATGTCTAAAGGGTGTCTTAGAAATAGCATCTTAAACTAAAATTTAAAAAAAAAATTACATTAATTGAGATTTTTTTGAGTAGCATAGCCTACCCTAGACTCCAACACATCTATCATATCATATGCCAACCTATTAATTCTTCATTTTAAATTTTAAATTTTAATTTTCTCATTCTAATTACATTAAATTAATAATTGATTTCTTCATTTCAAATTTCAAATTTTAAATTTCACACTCTAATTATATTAAATTAATAACAAAAGAATAAAAGAAATAAAATTAATATATATATTATTAGATGATATAATTTATTTATTTATTTAAATCAACGATTATAATTTTATATAACTAAAAAAATATCTTTTAATTAATAATTTATATAAAATAATTTACTTGAAATAATTGATTAATAATTTTCAGTTTTTGCTATAAAATTTTAATTAATTTTATAATTGTAATTCTCACGAATTATAAATTAGTTACTAATAAAAACTAGAAAAGGATAATAAGTGAATATGATATGAAACAAAGAAACAATCACACATTTTTATTATATTTACTTTTATGCTAAATTGCACGTAGTATTGGAAACATATGATTTTACTAATATTTTACATATTTTACAATTGTTTCAATCATGTACTAGAAATCAATCGGTAAGAAAAAACATTTCACTCATGTATTTTAACGGATTACGTGTAATCTATCTAGATAGTGACCGAAAATGTATGTTTGGTAGTGTCAGCCAATGTTATATGAATTCATAATGCAAAACACTTGAATATGTTATGTGCATTCCATTGGAAATATATAATTTACTAGTATTCTACAAAACTTTGTCCTAAAAAGAAAAAAATGGAGTTTAGTGACCCTGCCTAGGAAATGTTTTCTTCTTGCACGAACACATTCTTTATTACTTTTATCTAGCAAAATAATTTAAAAGAAAAATAAAGAATTGAGTTAAGTTCATTAAAAAACTAGTAGATATCGTTTAAAGTCTGATATAGCTATATAATTTTAAAATGATAGTAATTTATGGATTACGTTTAATAGAAAATCATTATTAATAATTAACAAATAAATCAATTGAGAAATTCGGAAATCATAACATCAGCAGCCAAAGAAAAGGTATAGATTTATACATTGGACAGGCATATACAAAGATCATACCAAAAAAATAAAAAATAAAAATAAAAAAATAAAAAAAAAAAAAGTAAAAACCTTGCTTCCTTACATGTGAATTTGAGTTAATTCACCTACGATCATTAGCAAATATATTTATGTAAAATGTTGATATCATCAAAAAAATCAAGTGAATCTAGGTAAATTTATATTTTATTTAGTTAGATTCACATGTGAAAGCAAAATTTTGTTCGAATTCACATGTAAATTGGATATATCTATTTTAGCGATTATTTACATATATATTATTAATTTATGTCTATCATAAAATTGTGAATGTGGACCAACAAATCGATATATTATAATGATTTTTATACGCAAAGATCATGTGAATTTTAAGATTTTTATACACAATAATCGTAGGTGAATTTATTCAAATCCACACGTAAATGATCCAAAATTGTTGGAAATGTAGCGTACAAACATTCATGTGTGTGTGTTTTTTTTTTTTTTTTTTTTTTTTTTTTTTTTTTTTTTTTTTAAATTCAAAACAGTTAATGATTCACATTAAAATCTCAACATAAATTTTGAAAAAAAAAAAAAGAATTCGGTTTTTTCTATTGATATGAATGTTTATTTAAAAATTACCAAAAATTATGAATTTTAATATATTTATTTACTTTTTCAATAAAAGATAAACTTTGAATTCTCAAAAATTAAAAAAAATGAAATGAATGTTTTTTGAAAAAAAAAATCATTATATATATATATATATATATATAATATATGTATGTATATATATATTATATATATATATATATATATATCTATATATATATATATAATATAATATATATATATATATATATATATATATATATATATATAATATATATATTATATATATAGGGATACTTGTCTTTTCATACCTCATGACTCATGGTGCACTGCGATAAGATCATTAAAGTAACAATTCACCTTCTTTAGGAGTAAAATTGTGGTTGGGCGTATCGTCGAGGTTGGGCGTATCGTCGACATTGAGCATATCGTCGACCCCGTGACCCCATGTAGACTTCATGCTCGGACAATTTTTCACCTGGATAAACTTCAAGGAAGGATATTTGATTGTAGAATCCCCAGAGTAGAAGCTCTTTAATTGGGGCAAATTTGTAAGGTCAATACGGGCAAGCCAACGGAACTCAATATTTGCATCATGTATGCCCACTTCGATTTCAATATCCCCTGTTTGCTCAATGTCACTAACAGTTGTTTGCTCATCTCCACCAGAAATCACTACCACCAAACTGCTACAATCCCAAATCTGTATACGTCTCAGATTGTAAAGCCCTTGTGCTACACTCAAGGGGAACACCGTCAACAAGGAAGAACAACTTGAAATTGTAATGTCTTGTAGATTACGCAAGCTTATATATTGAAATGAACAATCAAAAAGAAGCTTCAGGTTCTTAAGGTCATGCAGGTGGATTTGTTCCACTTGGGAGAAAAGCTTTTCCTTTGTTGCATCCTCAGCCTCAATCGTTGTCTTCACCAAGCATGAAACATTTTCAGAACTATACAATTCAATAGCCTTTAACTTATCACTAGTATTTTCTACATAAAGGTCTGGTATGATGTTATCCAAATCTTGTATATAGTCTAGTTCTATACCATCACTTTCCTGAAATAGTTTCTTGATTGACATCTTGAATGGGAATTTAGACCTTGCAATGCGTAGTCGACGTTCTAAATGTGATTTTGATCGATCAAAATCAGATTGCAAAAGGAATCTCTCTGTATCAATATCAATAAATTGAAAAAAGAATTCTTGCAACTTTTCGAAGTAGGTACCTTCAGGAAAAAGATGACAAGCATTTGAATTCGTTGAAAAATGCAGAGCTCTGAAGAATTTCAATTTCCTTATTTCCATAAGACAAAGGCGAGACACTGCGTTCTCTTCATCTGTTCCAATATACAACTCTTCCAAGCAAGTGAGCTTTGATATGACGCCAGGTGTTACATCAGATAAATAGTAACATTCGCCCGCATCCAATAGCCTTAAGTTGATCAACTGACCGATCTCTTTAGGAATCACTTTAATTCCGGTCCCTCTAACCTTCAGAATTTCAAGGCCTTTTAGCTCCCCAAGTATTGAAATTTCATCGAGAGATTCATTGCCACTTAGATCGAGTGTGATGAGTTTTGTGAGCAGCTTCAGTGATTTTGGTAGGGATTTTGATGTCATTCAAAGACATATCTAAAACTTTAACTTTTTTCATGCCTCCAAAGAAATCATCAGGAATAACGGAAAGATCATTGCTTCGTATAAGGAAAGTATCAAGGTGTGGGAAATGAAGCTGATGATCTGGAAGCTTACGAATTCTATTATTCATGAGTGAGATCTTGGTGTACTTGTCTGAGGTTCTGTTTCTTGGTTGCCATTCTGTCAAATTTTTTTTCCAGCCTCCACTAAAAACTTATCCTTCTCTTCGCCTTGAGAAGAAGAAGTTATGAACAAAGCCACACCACGAACAACATCATGCATTTTTACTTTGTCCCCCTCAGATAATAACAAGGAAGAGGATGTGAGGATGTCAACTGCCGTTTGGGCACTTTCTTGTGCATCGTTAATGCTATCCGGATCATTAAATTTCTGCAGAGCCACCCCATATTCTGCTAAGCGTAACATATCTATGATTCCATCTTCCTTGAACAAACTACACATTAAGAAGCACCATTTAGCTACTTCGCTTCCAAGTAAGTCATAGCTCAGCTTCAACTTAGTAAATGCTTGGCGTATCTCTGGATCGATATCTACAGGTGCATTCTTTTGTAGTTGTTTAAGTGCTGCCTCCCATCTATCAATTGGTTTACTTTTTAAAGCATTTCCCACGGCTTCAATGAGAAGTGGCAATCCACCACATTCTTTAGACACATCATTTGCAATTTTCTCCAGTCTATCTTGGTTTGCTATCTTTTCATCACCCACAACACGTTTGAAAAGGATCCACGCTTCTGTCGGTATCAAAATGTTTACAGGTATTTTTTTATCAACGTTCATCGCTTCATATACGTTTATTTTTCTAGACGTCAACAAAATCTTGCAATTCATGTGGTCTTTCCCACATGGTATGCCAAGATCTGAGAGGACCGGTGGTTCCCATATGTCATCTAAAATGATTAGAATCTTCTCCCCATTGATTATCCGTTTTGCAGCTACTTCAACATTTTCTTTAATCTCTTTAACGTTTACAGTCTGTGAGACAGTTATAAACACAATGTCTGCAAATAGATTCTTCATTTTTACAGCAACTTCCTTGGCTAATGTAGTTTTCCCTACACCTCCTGATCCATAAATTCCAACAATTTGATTGCTCTCATCTTTGATAGCTTGAATGGTATCCCTCAACGCCAACTTGTGGGAATCAATACCATCAAGATTCTTTGGTTGGTAGAGGTCTACCAATCCTGGGGTGCGAGTGGGAATGGAGAGACACTTTTCATGAGATTCACCAGCATTTTGTAGATCCAGAAGAGAAGCGGTCTTGTTTTTCGCCATCTTACTGTAATGGGAGAGGGTGCACAAATTGACACAAGGTTGTAAGTTGAAGCATGTCTTCTTGGCGTTGGCTTCTTCTTCAAGAAATAATTCCACCTTGGATATTTCATCGCCTGCCTTGTTCATCCAGTTTTTCACTTCCTCACCATTTACGAGAGCTTCTCCTTTTTCTTTAGCTGCCTTGATTAGTTGTGGAATCCTTTCCCTCGTATCCTTGAGCTTTTGAGTTTCACTTTTCAACTTTTCAACATTTTTAGTGCGATTTCGGACGTAATCAATCTCCCGTTTAGCCGCACTAAACAACAAGTCCACTATTTTTCCAACGACAGTACTAGTGACCGGGTCCGCCATTCTAGCTAGGTTACTTTTCTATTCTGATCATGGTTTGGATGGCAAAGTAGTTGACAATATATCAGATCTTCAAACAATAAACTTGTATGCAATAGACAACCAAGTCTGAATATTGAATACAGTAATTTCCAATTGCAAAGAAAGGAAGATGCATGTAGTCTTTCTTTAGATATGAAAAAAAGATTATGATGAGCCAAATACCGAAGGCTTTGCAGATTATGAACTACACAAAAAGGAAAGAGAAGAGTTTTTCTTTGGATAACAAAAGAAAATTATGATGATGCAAGAATGGAAAATGGTAGCAGAGTGAAGAAGAGACGTTAAGATAAGAGTGAATATTGTACATAAAATGAAGACCAGAGTGGGGATTTTAATTGTACCCAAAATTTGTTATGATGCCCTATTTAACATTACAAGGGTTGACCATTTTAAAGTGTATATTTATTTTGCCGATTCCTTTTATATTTTCAGTTCTCCCCCCTTTAGTTTAATATAACTGCAGAATTAATCATTTATTTGTGACATTTTTATTGTCTTTTTTTATTTTAATACAAACTGTATTTGTTTTTTTTTTTTTTTTTTTGTTTTTTTAATTTTTTATGTACCAAAAATGATGAAATAAAAAATGCTACACAAATAAATTAAATAAAAATTAAAAATATTAACAAGATTTATTATATTATCAAAAACAGTTTTATATTTAGAGGATGAGTTTTTTATAAATCAACATAAATAATAACAACAATTTTTATGTGGTGTATTTAGTCAAATAATATATCCAGTTGAATACAACGTTTTGATCGGTAGTTATGTCAACCTGACAAAACTAAAGGTATTAGATATAATTTATGTAAATAAAGTTTAAGATAATCACCACCATGAAAGTTGACCATAACAACAAATGAACCATATGAGATGTCTTATGGCCCATATCAAACCAAAAGTATGTCGACAAACATTTTTTCCTCAAAAATAAACATTTACAACATTCTTGTAAAAAACCACTATCCGACCTAATCAACCAATATTGAGCTGCAAAACCTCATCCAGAAAGATAACTATTTTAGATTGAAAAAAGATCAAAATGGTAGATAAATAGAAATTATACAAGAATATGCCTAACATTATTTATGTTAAAAAAAGGGATTAGAATAATAACAAATATGTTAAATAAAGGATAATAAATATAGAATTTATTTATATATATGAGATGAATTATTTATTTTCAAAATAAACCAAGATATGTTCAATTTTTACTTCGACGTTAAAACGAAATAACATATTAAGTTATAAAATTGTGAAAAACATAAAATGAAATAAAATGAAATTGTAAACATGGATTTAAAAAATTGGATTATTTTAACAAAGTGAAAAAACAAAAATAATATATAAGTAAAAAATCATGCATGTAATATTAGTTGAGATATAGAGCGTGTTTGACAAAAAATAGTTGTTAGCTGGAAGCAGATAACGGGCAGCCGGTAACGTGTAGCGGATAGCTGGAAGCGTGAAACTATAACTTTTACTCCCTTCGTCCCAATTTAAATGTCCAGGTTACTATTTTAGGTTGTCCCAAAATAAATGTCCATTACTAAAAATAGATGAATAGTTTACCAAATTACCCCTTATCATTTGAGTTAACCAATATGTTTTTATTAATGTGTTTTATGATTAGTAATTAAAAAAAAAGATCATCCACAGAATATGGAAACAAATACTCCAGTAACTCTAGTAAACTAAAAATTCAATCATATGAATTCATTATGTAGTGGCATAGTAAATCAAAGCATAACCACACAACCACAACATCTCACTTTTTCTAATTTTCATTAAGAAAAAGGTCAAAATACAAGTGTTCTTTTCCAAACAAGGTGACGTGCAATGCATTTTTACTAGTTCAAATACAATATGGCATCGTCTAATAAATTTTCATCACATTCAATTTGGAGTGACAAATTACCTTCTCGTTCTAACCTACATTTACCAATATGCGGTACATGATAGTTGCTGCCACCTTGAACTTTTTGATGGATTTTGGTCATAAGACATCTTATGTGCTCATACAAACCCTAATGCTTGGATCTAGGTTTCTCTATTGTACATGCTTTGAATCCAAGACTATAAACCCTAATTCTAGCATACAAGTAATCATATTAGATATTAGAACAGGTTTATAATATTACCTTGATTGTTATGTAGCAATAACAATCCCAATTCCTCCTTGAATTGACTTTGGAAGGCTTAGAGTCACAAGTGTCACTCCTCTAATGGTTCACAAACACCATAAGCAAGAGGATGAAGAGGAGAGAGGTTAGAGGCTGCCAAAACTCGTGTGAAACCCTAGCAAGAAGCTTAGCCACGTTTTTGGTCCTTAAGGGATCTATATATAGTGAGGCAATTAGGGTTATCTAACAAGGAAACCCTAATTTGGTTGCTTAAGCCCTAAGCAACCCATGGACTCCTTTCCTTAAAGGCCTTGGACGATTTCTAATGGGTTTCCCCATAGAATTCGTCCAACCTTATAATATAAGGCAATCCATGGTCCAATTGCAATTATCTTATAATTACAATTCCAGTCCCTTAAGTTTAATTAATCTCTTTTAGTCACAAACTTAGTTCTTATTAATTCTTGACTAATATTAATTAAATAATATGATTTATCCTTTAATATATTATTCTCATAATATATTAATATATCATATTTAATCCTTTCTCTCCATAATTCATCCTATCAAGTTGCTTTGGTGAAGGCAACCCAAAAGGACCATGCACCATCGGGTCAAGTACATACCAAAATAGTTATGGACTTAGACACTAATCCAACAGTCTCCCACTTGGATAAGTCTAATAACTATTCTGCATATGACTTCAGATCCTGATATGCAATTGTAGCTTTCCAAAGCCGCTGTCAACTCTGATCCCATCAGATACACGTGTCCTTTAGATAAGGGATCATATATTCCTCCATTCTAGATATCGTATGAGACATGATTTCTAATCATTCTCTCTGTACTATTTCTCGACTTTCTATTTATGACGACTGACTAATTGAACAAATCAAATTAGCCCTAGCCCGACCGAGCATTTACGTTTGTCATCACTAAATCATCGAGGGGCCCAAAGATATCGCTTTTATCCTACTTTGGATAAAAGGAACGGATAAACTTTGATTCAATGCTCGCTTGCACTCACTCACCGAATCACACACAACAATATGTTTTATGACACCAAGTTACTGGTGCGTTTACATATTATCAATGTGCAACCGATTTGCAAGATACAACTCACATATCTCGGTTTCAAGAATATAAGATGTTATCGTCTCACCAATCACTCGTGATACAATTCATGGAGTGATCCAAGTGAGCGTGGGTTTAATCCAATGCTCAAATCATATTCATAAGCACTCATGAATGTTGCAGCAAACATTTGTTTATGTCCAATACTCTTTAGACAATCCACACACCAATTCACGACAGTCTTCATTCATACCTACTTCCAACATATGAATGACTGTGGCCCGTTCAAATAATTTGACTGTTCTAAACCAATTAAATTATTCAGGAAGTCAAAACATGCAAAGTGAAACACAAGAATAATACTAATCCCACATGGCCTCAAACCTTTGAGTATAAATAAAACACCTTTTATTTATCACCATATCGATTACTCATTATTTGTTCTTTCGGGTAATCAACTTCTTACTTGAATTATTACTACACTTGTCCCATGCTCTTAGCATGCACACAATGCTTACCTATGGTTCTTACTTTGTGAAATATATCAAATTGAACACATTTCCAATCATACTCATTCCACAACTCCGATTCATTATCACAAGTGAAATAATATCAAATTCTTGCCACTTATGGAATAGGTTAGATTCTAACATTTTATGCAACGATCCTTTTGTAATGTCACTGCACTAAAGTCACAATGAATATTGTCAATGAAATTACAAAGTCCTCTATCGGAGATTGTTACAATCCAATTCCTTAGATATGATGTCTCTCACTCAAAGTACATTCCTTTGAACATCCTTTTGCATAAAAGTTTCTAATCTAGATATAGATTTTCTATATTCAATTCCCAATATGGACACGTTTCCATATTTTCCATATGACAACTCATTCCTAATAGAATCTTATCTATTCATAATAATGTCGATATGGTTCATCCAATACTATACTTCCAACTACTCACAAGCGACCAATCCTCGGCGAACTTTGGATTGTCCTTTGATAATTGTTAATTATCTTAGTCAAAACCGATTATTGTCCTTTTTCCCTCTAAATGCGCTAGACATTTGGAAAATTTTAGAATGGTCAAATATTATAGCATTTTCAATCGATCCTATACCCGAAGCGTATGGGACACGATGCATAATGTCTTACATAAAGATTTGATACTTTATCAATCTTCTGCCATAATATTTTATGTGCTACGTTCTCCAAATTCGAACTATGAAGAGGAATGCTGTAATCATAATCGGTTTTTGAGAACACACTATGTATCCTTGACTAAATTTATTAAGATTCCACAACCTAAGCCTTTTGATTTGAAATGAAGCATAATATTCTCTCCCTTAATTATAGCAAAACAACTTTACAACCCTTACAACTTTGCATGGTAAAACTCTTGTTTTTCTATAATTAATATTGCTAACTTGCAATACTTTCCTTAATAATCATGCAATCATAACATTTATGCTCCCACTATGATGATTATTATAAACATAACACTTATGCTCCCACTAGCTTTGACATGTATTCAGAAACCATCTTAACTTCTAGAAAAACAATGCCTATTGAATTTCTTTAAGTTCATATTTCTAATACCCAATGCTTTGATAATCTTTTATCAAGGCTTCTTAAACTTATACACCTTTTCCATAGATAGTTCATATGTGTGTCGAAACAATTCAGACTAATTGCCAAATCTCACAATTCGAATCATGGAAAGGGATACCGTAACCATAATCGAATTCGAGAATACAATTT